AAAGCAGATGACATAGTCCTTACTGTTAATAACTATGTTCTGTAGCTGTAGAAACCAGACTAAATTTTCTCTAAACTCTCTACTTGGGAACAGAAGCAATGTTTCCTCTCTAAATTATTTACATTCTGGTTTATTCAAAATTAAACTAAATGGATCAATATGTCCAGGATCAAGGAAACAATTTAATATCAAGTACTTGGTATTAATTGTATCAAATGTACCAAATAAAAATATATGTCTTCATAGCAGCTATAATAAATTTCTGCCTTTTAGGGGCACCTGCCTTCGGCTCAGGTCATGATCCCGGGGTCCTGCGATGGAGCCCTTCGTCAGGCTCCTTGCTCAGCGGGAGTCTGCTTCTCCCTCTCCCTCTGCCTGCAGCTGCCCCTGCTTGTGCTCTTTCTCTGTCAAATAAATAAATAAAATTTTAAAAAATAAATAAATTTCTTCCTTTTAATTTATTAGTGGGTGATATAAGTACACCCACATTTACATACATTTTTCCTCATTCTGTTCTCTGTTCTTTTTACTTGAGTCTGATTCTTCTGTTTCTACCAGAGACAATATGGATACATATGTTTACACCATAGAAATAGGAGGATACCAGGCAGGTAATAAAGCTTAGGTTGAAGATTATGGATTAGTCCCCACGAATCAGTTAAAACCACTGATCAATTTTCATTTTAAAGACCATTTTTAAACTAAATAGTTTATTGAGGTATAATTTGCCTATCATACAACTTAACCACTTAAAGTATACAGGTTAGTGGTTTTAATTATATTCACAGATGTGTGCATTTTAGAACATTTTTGTCTCCCCCATATCCTTGAGCTATCATCCCCTTCTCCCCCTGTCTCCCTATCTCAGCTCTAAGCAACTACTACTATATCTTCAATCTCTATAGATTTCCCTACTTTGGACTTTCATATGAAGGCAATAATATAGTATGTGGGAAAGACCATTAATTTGTGCCAAATTCACACTAAGTGATATTAGGAGGTAGGCATGGCACTCAAATAGGTAAGGATATTTTCCCATTTTCTTTCAGATCATATTCTTTTAGGTGCTTCTCCCATACTTGTTCATTAGGCTCTTGACCTTAATTATTGTGTTGTTATTATCTGTTTACAAATATTTTCCTAGCTCTAAATTTGTATATAATGGTGGGATCTATGTCTCTTTTTCTCTTCCTAGAGCCCAGAATATGATTGATTGATTAACTGGAATAATGAAAATATTGAATTAAAAATATTTATCTGGCAAGGTTTCCAATGCTCTAAGAATATTCTGGGTTTGATTCGGTAGAATTTCAGTTATACTGGCAAATTCTTTGTATAGAGTCCTCCTCAAAATGCTTTAGATAGGAATTAATATCCTGGATCCTATAAAGCTGGTTGTAAACTTAATTATGCATTGAATGGTATATACTTTAATAATTTCTGGGATGCAATGTAGAATGTTGCCTCATTTTCCCTAGTTTTGATTTTACACTGGAACAACAGAGCTCAATTAGTTCATTTATTCCCTAAACCTGGACCGCAAGCCTGCACCCTGGTTGGCCTAAGGGTAGGTTGAGGAGAAGAGCCAGTAAAGGAAAACCTGTCTTGACCTTATGCCCCTTGTAATCCAGTGGGAAAATAGATATTGATCAAATTGTGATGTAAATAATATAAATTGTAGCCTGGATCCAGTGTTACAGAAGTGAATTGCTTCAAGTAAGGAGACACTGATGAATGGGATCCTTCAGCTGATATTCTGAATTTGAGTTGGGGGTTTACCAGGTTAAGAGTGAAAGAAAAAAGCATCTAGGCAAAGGAGATATTATATAATGATGTCCTTTGGTGCTCAGAGTGATGAAGGATGAAGATGTAAGTAAGGCAGGCTGAGGCCATAAGACAGGGGGCAGCTGATGATTGAGGGTTTTATTCTAAGTGTAATAGGAAGCTTGTCCCCTGTTTTAAACAGGATGAGTTGCATTATTTAATTCCTGACTGGAAAACCTTACATTTCCCCATTTAGGTCCAGAGCTAAATCTTATTAACTTTAATAGAACTGGACTGCTCTCACAATTCATCCAATAAATTAAGGTACTGTGATTTTAAGTTCCAATTTTATCTCCTGAGTTTTGTCTAAAAATTTGCTCTCTAATTAATTAATAAAGTAATTTCTGCAATTAATTGAAGAATTCTTTCAGAACTCCTAACGTCTGCATAAAAAGAAAACTGTTGACAAAATAGGGGTTAGTTTTAGCCTGTCATTTAAACATAGTTCTAACTCTCTGGAATTGAGGGAGGAATGGGGTTACTGAGCTGGCCCTCAGAAATTACAATTTCAAGTCTTTTCTCTAGATAGATCCCAGGGAGAGGTTTCCCACCACCCTACTATGGTACCTGGCGTTAAAAATCTGAGCACTAAGAAAATCTTTGGATTCAGTAATGCAAGGAGAGAAAACTGTGAAAAACAAAAACAGCTGAAGAAAAACACTCTGATGACAGCCACATAGACAAGAGGGACATAAACAATGTCACTCTCTGCCCCAAAATATCTGAACCATAAAATATCTGGATGAGTTTGTTTCTTCTTTTTATACTACCTAAACCTTCATTGGCGGATGATTCATCTCTGTTAACTAGTTTTTTCTTCTAAGAAATGGAGACGTATTCTTAAAATCCTTTCCAATTTCCAAGTATCTCTAGAAACTAACTGTAATCATGGGCATTTAATTTCATTGTATATTCTTAGCTTCTACTTAAAATCATTCTGTAATATGTTTACAAGAATAGGTCTATCTTAGGCTTGGAAAAGCTTTTGACTTTATTTATTCATTCATTCATTCATTAACAAACATTTCAAAGATACAAAAGAAAGACATTATTCCATGCACTGGGTTTACATCAACGTATGAAACAAACTACCAAAAAAATTCAGTGCCCTCTTGGAACTTATGTTCTAGTTATGGATGGGGGAAGAAGAATGAAAATGAATAATAAATATAAGAAATAAAGATAATTGTAGGTTGAAAGCTGGTAAGTATAATGGGAAAGAAAGAATAGAACAGAAAAAGGGGATTGGAAACTTGGAACACTAACTAGTAAATATTAAGGGTCTTAGGGTGGATTAGTGCTAAGCTTATATACCACCCTTAATGCCATGTAATTTTATTCATAAATCTTGGTTGATAGATTAATTAGGATAATAGCTACCTTGTATTCAGTGTCTATTGTGTGCTAAATAAGCACTCATTTCAACTATACTATCAGTCACAAATCATATCTTTTGATCAAATGAGAAGTCATCTTAAACAGAATTTGTGCTTGTTATGGGCATATTGACCAAAAGGCAAAACAGAGTTAGGAGCCATGTCACTAAGGCCAGAGACTTCACAGAGCTAGTGAGGGTGGGTGGGTGAATATTTGGTTGGTAGGAAGTACTGAGTAAAGTGAGTTAGCAGTGGGTTTGAATTTCAGTCTGAGGAAGACAGTTTTCAATATTTTATTTATCATGCCTCTTCTTTAATATTCTAGAAGTAAAAAGGACTACTTGCCAAGAAAATGTTGACTACCACTACTTTTCTCAAAAACTATTGCCCATCTTATATTTAAATATATTGGCAATTCAGTGTTAAAAATTGACATTCATGGAAAAAATATAGTTCTAAAATAACTTTTATTCTTTTTTTTTTTTAAGATTTTATTCATTTATTTGACAGAGTGAGAGACAGCGAGAGCAGGAACACAAGCAGGGGGAGTGGGAGAGGGAGAAGCGGGCTTCCCGCCGAGCAGGGAGCCCGATGTGGGACTTGATCCCAGGACCCTGGGATCATGACCTGAGCCGAAGGCAGACGCTTAACGACTGAGCCACCCAGGCGCCCAATAACTTTTATTCTTAAATAAAAAAGGTTTAGGAAGTTTACGTGTTCTGAAGATAGAGAAACCCAGTGGAATTTTAGATTGTCTTTTCAACTATCCTATGTTAAAAGTGCTATACTTCTTTTATAATTGACATTTTATTCTTTTTTATTATTAGTTTTTTAATATTTTTTTATGATTTTATTTCTTTATTTGAGAGAGAGAGCAAGAGAGGGGGAGAGAGCAAGAGCATGAGGGGCGTGGCTGAGGCAGAGGGACAAGCAGACTCCCTGTTGAGCAGGGAGACCCACATGGGACTCCATCCCAGGATCCTCGGATCATGACCTGAGCTGACAGCAGACACGTAACCAACTAACTGAGCCACCCAGGCGCCCCATTTTATTCTTTAATGCATTTATTTGATTTTTCAACTGTTGGTTTCAAACTTCTCAACTCTGTATTATCAAAACAGAATTTTCATGCACTTATTTCAGGCTTTATTTTGTTTCCTTCCATATTAGTCTCACTTATTTTTTTATTATTTCATATCTCATTTGGTCAATTATTTGAAGAATTACTACAGTGTTCTTGTCAGTTTATTTTGTCCTCTTAATTGTTTCATATGTGCTTTCACACAAGGAGGAATCTAATATTAATTAAAGAAATGCAGATGATCCCTTTCCCATCATGCATATGCACACTCTGATTTTTTGTATCATTTTGTGCAGGTAAAGATCTCTCTAGTCACTTAGCATCCCAAGGGGTCTGTGCTTAGTCACCAGCATAGAACAACTTAGTTAGTTAATGGAAATACATAATTATCTGGTATTTGAACATTAAATAAGAATTTCTACAATGGGCAGCATGCTACACATTGAAGAGAATGCCTATTTAAGGCATTTCCAATCTTTATTTGAAAAACAAAAGCTTTCAAAGTCAACTGTTATTAATTACTAGATGTCATGGTATATTCTAAATAGGTGGATAAGTTTTTTGGGAGCTGTGTCTGCAGAGTAGAGAAATTCCACAAGTTTATTCATATGGTATCTGGTGTCCATTAACATATTATTCATAGCATGTATAGTTTCCTAATTAAAGGCTGCATATTTTCTTGCAATTAAAAAGCACAATATGTGATTTTCTCTTTGCAGGGGGGAGCAGAACATAATATTCCAGTTGTCATTTCAAAAATCTCCAAGGAGCAAAGAGGTAAAGTGTTCAGAGAACTACATAGTAACTATTCCTTTGTAAGCCATCCTCACTGAAGAATAGGTCGTATTAAGGAACCATAAATTCGTATGTGATTGACTAGCTCCAAGTTCCCCATGACCAGAGAGTTAAGTGGCCAAGTCTGATTCCTGACTCTATCACTTTATTACTCCAGGGGAGGGTTTTGCTCATAGGAAAGCAAGGATGAAAGATAAGAGAGCATGTGACTGTGTATAAATTAGGGACTACACAGCTTTTAAATTGTTTCATTAAACACACAGACAAATTTAATGATAATAAGTCCCATCAAATAAGGCAATTCCTGATACACATATTTTTTCAGTTCTCATATGCAGTTTAACAGCCTGTCATGAAATTTCATCTAGAGAACACCAAAGATGTAAAGCAACTGTTTCAATGACTGAAATCAGTAAGATAATCTAATGTTCAAAAAGAAACTCAGAGTTGATCCCATAGTTGATGGATTGAATGTCTAGATAAAATTTTTTTCATAGATACCTTAATATTATAAGTACATGAGAAAATTTAGTCATCCATCCAGAAGAGTGACCAGTTTTGGGCAACTGTAAGGTCTGAAATTATAGGATTAAATGGAAATAGGTGTTCCGATGTTTGGGCAGAACCATACAATTGTTTTTGCATTCCTATTATTTGTGGATCTTTTAAGATGTTATCTGTATAAAACATTTAATGTTTTCCTTGTATCAATTTTGATTTTACTTAATTATAAAACTCATCTGTATGAAGAAAATAGTTGATGCATAATAATTGCCCTTCTTCCTTCACAGCGGAACTTTCAGGACTGCTTTTTATCGGAGATGCTATTCTACAGGTACACATTTTACCCTTATTTTCTACTTGCAATCAAAACATAAATTCAATTCACAGCACGCCAAGAGAAACCATAATTTTCTTTTCATTGCAGATAAATGGAATTAATGTGAGAAAATGCAGACATGAAGAAGTGGTGAGTTTTCTTTACTTTTTCTTAATATCATAATTTTCCCCATGTGCAAATAAGGATCTACTGCATTGCTAAACACAGTTCAATTTATTCATTAGGTAGATGTGACATTGGTCCAGTGTGCTAATCAGATTTTCAGATGATCTCTTAATTGGTGTGTGTGTGTGTGTGTTTCATATTAGACACAGGTCTGTGAGTACTACCCAGGATGAAATGTAATTCAAAGAAATACTTTGAGCATTGCTTGTTATGTGTTTTTTCAGTTTTTCTATTAATCTCAGCCAATCAGTGTCCATGAGGTATATCTCTAGGTGAACTACATCTCTAACTCTTTGCAAATGTTTAAAATCTTACAAGCAATAGAATTTGTCTGTAAAATCTTACACAGTAGCAGAGTCAATTGGAAGAGCATATAAAGACTGTGTGTGTGTGTATGTGTGTGTGTGTGTGAAAGAGAGAGAGAGACAGAGACAGAGACAGAGAGACATTAACAGGAGAGACAGAGAAAGAGAAAGAGACAAAATTTAGAGAAGTTTAATCTCAAGGCATACTGAATTAGCACTAGGCAGAATGGCCATCAATTTTTGTGTGTGTGTTGTTGTGTCCTGTGGTTTTTATTTATTTATTTATTTTTGGATGTTGGTCAATATGCAGATCTGAAGCCCCAGCCTCAAATATTCTAATTCAGTCAGTGTAGGTGGGCCCAGGAATTCGGATTTTAACAATCAGCCCAAGTGGTTCTATTGTAGGTGGCCTGTAAACAACACTTTGGGAGAGGCTGGAAGGTTGAAGGGCTTCTGTTGGGGACAGACATAAAACATGATACAAAAAGAATAAGACAGTGTTAGGCATTTGGGAAACATTCATCATGGTTGATTAAATAAGATTCATAGAGCCTTCACTGAATTTCTGTAGCAGCTCACATGGGAAGGGATAGAGGAGAAATTATGTTCAAAAGTTTATGTTCAAGGGTTGTGTTTGAATGCATTGCTCCTCTGTTAAAAGCTATTTAGAGAAAACTATTCTGATGGGTTTGTGTATTTCAAACCTCAAGGACGCACCTCAAGTGTTTTTGAGAAATCACAGTTCCACAAGCAGTGATGCACGGGAGGGTTCTCAATTGTGCATGCTTGGAATAACTCACCCAGTTTGTATTCATCTCTTATCTTGGTCTCCAAAATCTTACTGGGGCCACTGTATCGCCACTCTGTGGTGAACATCCTGTAAAATATGCGTTTTGAGTCTTGAATTTACTACAAATATGTTCAGAAAAAGCAGTGTTTTTGAACGGGTTTGAGACAAATGAGAGAACAGCACAGAGCACTCTGTTCTGCCGATACAGATGCAAATGTTAAATATAGCCATGTAAGCAAAGATATTTTAACTTCAGTCTCCTCTCAAAGATACAAATTGATTTTAAACTCATTATACAGGGAGCAAAACCAAGTGCATTCTCTTTTAAAACCACATGCTGTTAGATGGAGTCGTGTTTGCAATTCGCCCTTCTGAGGCAGGCAGCATGCTTACAGGAGCTGTGCTGTAGCTTTGATTAGACAGATTAGTGCGGCATGAAAGATTGGAATGTGCTAATAATGCCACTTCCTAATGCTGTTCATTCTTTTTCAAAGAAAAGGAATTTAGGATTGTTTCACAAATTATGTGTGGCTCTTCACAGTACACTTATTTTTTTGAGAGGCTTAACCTTATCAGCTTTGAAATATAGGCACTAATATTCTTAAGTTCCACTCATTTTCTAACAGTGATTGGATGCTTTTGTCCTCATTGCTAATTACCTAAGCAAATAGACTGACTTATACCTCAGTGGGGCTGAGATATTATTTAAATGTTTAAGAATGGACTTAAATAGGCAGAAAAAGGCACAAGTTCAGAGGATGTAGATGGTTTTAAAATAGCATGCTGATGTACCACATTCTGTATTCCAAATCAGTGATTCACATAGAGTTCCAAACTCAGAAACAAATTGAATAGGTGTGACAGTATGTTGTGAGTGCATATAACTTTCCTTTTATTCATCTATATTACTTATTGACATTGCTAGAAATTTTGTATTTGGTCCCTGATTAGCTTCAGTCTTAGGATGCCTTCAACAATATAGCCGTAACTTCTGTGTTGGTGTTACAAGGTTTAATCTATGTAGAAAGGGAATCCCACGGTGTCTGTTGTGGACACCCAATAAGACTGTTAAAGAATTATTTAGCCAAACGCCTAGAATTAGATTACTGAAGCACTTGTGTCTGTTTGTTTCTCATGTTACTAGCGTGGACATAAAATAAGTCAATTCCGGGCTGCACCCACACCATGCAAAGCATGAAGAAGATTGTTGAAGGAAAGAAGCTTTTGAAGTTTCCTCATTAGGAAAGTGTTGCTTGGCATGTGATATGGTGGGAAGATAGCAGGGTACCCAGTTTAGAGGGCTTTCACACTCACAAACAACTGTCCACAAGTCCTAGCTGGACCACTTATTAACATTGTAATTTCAGGCAAATGAACTTACTTGTTCTGTCCCTCTCTGATGCATCTGTAAAAACAAACTAATAATTACCTTTATAAAGATTGAATGGGAGCAATGTATATGAAACTCCTTGCACAAATCTGACAATTAAGAAAAATTAGGCATTATTTTATGCCATCAAATAATATTGCTTCACATGTTGGCACTCTTCTCCCTATTTACTCCCATTGGTTACTTCTGTGTCAGTGTTGGGCAGTCTTGTTGAGATCCGTGCTGGCCTCTTAGAGCTTCCCATACAGAGAGAGTCCTAATGCAGGCTGGTCTGCATTCCAAGCTCCTTCCACCACACCCAGTCTGAAATTGAAGTGGGCACCCATGCCTACAGGGACAGAGCTGTTTGAAAATGAGGGTTCCTTGTTCATCATAAAACATCTTTATTTTTGGTATGAATGTGTTTTGTAGTCCATGAGTTATACTCCCAAGATACCAAAAGTCCCTAATGTACCAATTTTTTTCCCCCAAGGAAATGCAGATCTATTGTCACTGTTGATGTTATGATTGATTCTATTTTTTTTTTTTACCTTACCATTGAACCCTGGACATATTAAGTCGATTGCTATCTATCTAATCTATCTGTCTATCTATCTATCTATCTATCTATCTATCTATCTATCTATCTATCTACCTATCATCTATCATCTATCTATCTATATTTTATTAACAGGTAAACTGATCACATATCAACATCTGAGTACCATCTATACGGAATACACTAAGATGGAGTCCTTTGTGTAACAAGAAAGAATATACAAATAACTTTGTCTCTAACTTTATTGCTATGTGGACATCATTTCTGTAGAGTTTAATAATTAAGAGAGTGTACAAAAAATTATTAGGAAAGGCCATGTTGACTTATGGTTCTCAAAATATAACAGTGGTGATCTATTTATGTTCACTAGAAATAAAAGGAAATAAGATCTAGCTATAGCAGGAAAAAAATGCATCTTGAGTCTACAATCAATATAGTTGGAAATGAGAATCTATTAGTATAATTGAAATTTCCATCTAATAAGACTTTCAAAATAGGATAACTCATCATTAGGCAAAGCAGAATGGATGGATAGAGGATTCCGGAAGTTTCCTTCTAAAATATTTCTGATTTCATGTTTGAGATTTATGGGTTCTAAAAAGATTCATTTGCTTTTTATTTTCATGGTTTTACTGATAGAAAGCATTAGATAATTAGAAATGCAAAGAACTATCTAGTTCTGAATTTTATTTTTAAACCAAACTCTAAAAAACTGTAATTCTTAACAAGAGCAGAATGAGTATCTCAAATTATGTAAGTTAAAATGATATATGCATGCAATAAAAACAAATTTTGAGAAAACTAATATAAAGTGTTGCTTAATAGCATTTTAATTATTATGATATGCTTAACTTAATTCAAAATTTCCATTGGAATAAAAAGAATATGTTTTTTTTCTTAACTTAGATTAATCAGAAAATAACTTTAAAAATGTTATATCCTATCATTTGAAAATAAAGCATTAATTTATTTATTGGAACAGTTTAGGAGGTCTTATGAGTTACCAAGGAACATATTTAGGATGTGACTTGGGAACACACATCATTTTACATGTTGGCAAAAAGATTAAAATGTCACAGAGTTACAAATTATGTTTTACCTAACTGCTAATAATTCTTAATTTGTTCTCAGTTTAGAAATAAGTTTTGAGGTCTAACTAATTAATACTTTCCTTAAGAATTCTAACCATAGTGAACTCTTTTTCTTTAAATTAACTATCACCAAGGAAAGCCATATATGAAATAATCACACTTTTAATATTTCCCATTGATTTTAGAAATGTTTAATGCAAAGACAAAAATATGAAAAATATTTTTTTATGCTATGTCTGATTTTGGAAAGAAATAAAATACCCAGAACTTGCCTTACCTACATACTTAGCTTTTTATTAATACTATTAGGAGTTCCTTCTTTGCTAAGCCTACAGGTCTGTCTCCTCATTAGGTGTGAATATAGATAGCACAGGCCACACTTTAATTAAATGCATGCTCTTCATTCTTAGCTACTGATTCTCATCAAATCCTTATTTGCTCTCTAACATAGCTCAAAGATCCAATTTTGCAGCTTTCTTAATAATGAGACAAAACCAAGTCTGATAAACCAATTACTTAGTGGGGTCTCAGCCAATTTTTATCTAGAGGAATGGACAGGGAGAATACATAGCACCAGGCACAAGGAGACCATGTCGTACTAGGGGAACAAAGTGACTTGAGGTAGAAATGAACATGTTGATATTCCCTCCTTACCTCCTGCAAAGACTCTTTGCAGTCACTCCCACTCTCCAGGTTAGAATGAGGGTCATTGTGTGTTATATAGATTATCCAAATTTTCACAAAACTGTCATTTTATTTTCAAAATGACTAAACTGAAAAGCAAGGAGAAGAAAATGTATGAGAATGGAAGTTTGAAGATCTAAGTTAAAAAATGTGTTACAGGGTCACC